AAAACCAGAAAAAGACACTACGAAGAAAGAAAACTACAGGCCAATATCCCTGATGAACATAGACGCCAAAATCCTGAACAAAATATTAGCAAATCAGATCCAGAAATACATCAAAAAAATTATTCACCATGACCAAGCTGGATTCATTCCAGGGAAGCAAGGCTGGTACAATATTTGCAAATCAATAAATGTGATACACCACATAAATAAGATGAAGAATAAAAACCACATGATCATATAAATAGATGCCTAAAAAGCCTTCGACAAAATCCAGCATCCATTTCTGATAAAAACGCTCCACAATGTGTGAATAGAGGCATCATATCTCGACATAATAAAGGCCATATATGAAAGACCTACATCCAAAATCATACTCAATGGGCAGAAACTAAAAACATTTCCATTAAGAACAGGAACAAGACAGGGATGTCCACATTTGCCACTCTTATTTCACATTGTACTGGAAGTCTTAGCCACAGCAATCAGACATGAAGAAAAAATAAAAGGGATCCAAATTGGAAAGGAGGAAGTGAAACTGTCATTATTTGCAAATGATGTGATATTATACATAGAGAACCCTAAAGACACCATTAAAAATCTACTAGACTTAATAAATGAATTTGGCAAAGTAGCAGGACACAAAATTAACGTCAAGAAATCGACGGCATTCTTGTACACCAATGATGAACTCACAGAAAGAGAAACTGAAAAAACAATCCCATTTATCATTGCGCCAAAAAAAATTAAGATACCTAGGAATAAACTTAACCAAAGAAGTAAAGGACCTATTTGCAGAAAACTACAGGTCATTGAAAAAAGAAATAGAGGAAGATATAAAAAAGTGCAAGCACATGCCCTGTTCATGGATTGGAAGAATTAACATCATTAAAATGTCCATACTACCCAAAGCAATCTATAGATTCAATGCAATCCCCATCAAAATACCAACGACATATTTCATAGAACTAGAACAAATACTTCAAAAGTTCATATGGAACCAAAAAAGACCCCGAATAGCCACAGCAGTCTTGAAAAAGAAGGACAAAGAAGGTGGGATCACAATACCACATATCAGGTTATACTACAAAGTGACTGAAACAAAACAGCCTGGTACTGGCACAAGAACAGGCATATAGACCAGTGGAACAGAACTGAAAACCCAGAAATGGACCCAAAGCAATACGCTCAATTAATATTTGACAATGGTGGCAAGAGCATACAGTGGAGTAAAGACAGCCTCTTTAATAAATGGTGCTGGGAAAATTGGACAGCTATATGCAAAAAAATGAAACTAGACCACCAACTTACACCATACACAAAAATAAACTCAAAATGGATAAATGACTTAAATGTGTCTCATGAATCCATAAAAATTCTAGAAGAAAATGTAGGCAACAAAATTTCGGACATCATATGGAGCAGAATTTTCACTGATACATCACCTAAGGCAACAGAAACAAAGAAAAAAATGAACACATGGGACTACATCAAACTAAAAAGCTTCTGCACAGCAAAAGAAACAATCATCAAAATGGAAAGGCAACCCACTGTATGGGAGAACATCATTGCCAATGATGTATCAGATAAGGGGTTAATTTCCAATATATATAGAGTGCTCATACAATGCAACAAAAGGAAGACAAAGAACCCAATTAAAAAATGGGCAGAGGAGCTGAATAGACACCTCTCCAAACTGGACATACAAATGGCCAAGAGACATATGAAGAAATGCTCAACATCACTAATCATCAGAGAGATGCAAATTAAAACAACAATGAGGTATCACCACGCACCTGTCAGAATGGCCGCCATCAACAAATCATCAAACAACAAGTGTTGGCGAGGGTGTGGAGAAAAGGGGACTCTAGTACACTGCTGGTGGGAATGCAGACTGGTGCAACCACTGTGGAAAACAATATGGTGTTACCTCAAAAAATTAAAAATTGAACTTCCATTTGACCCAGTTATCCCACTGCTGGGAATATATCCTAAGAAGCCTGAAACACCAATCGGGAAGAATATATGTACCCCCATGTTCATAGCAGCACTATTTACAATAGCTAAGATCTGGAAACAGCCCAAGTGTCCATCAGTAGAGGAATGGATAAAAAAGCAGTGGTACATATACACAATGGAGTACTATGCAGCGGTAAGAAAGAAAGATCTCTTATTCTTTGAGACGACATGGAGGGACCTGGAAAGTATTATCCTAAGTGAAAGAAGCCAAGCAGAAAAAGACAAATACCACATGATCTCACTTATATACGGAATATAATGAACATAACAGTCTGAGGATTACGGTAGACCCAGAAACATGGAAGTAGGGCACAGACTGACATCCCTCAGAAGAGGGGTTGGGGGGGTGGTGGGAAGAGATACACCACAGAATTTATATGCATGTATGCATGACCAATGGACATGGACAACTATGCCAGGGATTGGGCGGGGGGTGCCAATGGGGTAAAAAAGGTGAAATATCTGTAACAGAAAAATAAATAAATAAAATTAAAAAAAAAAAAAAAGCAGTGTTACATATACACAATGTAGTACTATGCAGCTGTAAGAAAGAAAGATCTCTTATCTTTTGAGACAACATGGAGGGACCTGGAGACTATTATCCTAAGTGAAACAAGCTAAGTAGATAATGACAAATATCACATGATCTCACTTATTTTTGGAATATAATGAACATAACAATCTGAGGAATGGGGTAGTCCCAGAGACATGTATGTCGGGAACAGACTGACAATCCCCAGAATTGGGGGTTGGGGGGAGAGATCACCACAGAATATATGCATGTATGCATGAACAATGGACAACAAAGGTGGGAACAGGGCGGGGAGGGTGGAGGAGGGGGGTATCAGTGGGGGAAAAAGGAGAAACATCTCTAACAAAAATTAATTAATTAATTAAATAGAAAAGAAGAATAGAAAAATCAAACGCATCATGCTTATACAAAAGGGATTGAGACATAAGGAACAAACTGACAAACTTCAGAGGGGAGGGGGATGAGGGTTGGGAAGAGATAAACCAAAGAACTTTTATGCATATATGCATAACGAATGGACACAGACAATAATGTGGGGATGGTAGGAGGTGGGTGGGAATGGTGAGGAGGGTGTCAATGGGGTAAAAGGAGGCACGTCTGTAATTTTTTCAACAATACATATTTTAAGAAATGGGATTGCAGAAGAAGAATCAGAAAGAGGGATCTGAGTGAGATGACTCTTGATGTCCTTCTTCATATGGGACTTTCTCCTGGAATCTCTCCCTACTGTTAGTTCTAAAGCTGTATGCTGATGAAGGAAGCAGGAAGTATCTGGAAGATTCTACTGAGAATACTTCCAGATGACCTTACTGGCATATATGAGTGCCAGAGTCACTCCTTCTAGTGAAAGTCAGGATGATTAAATATAGGTATAAAAATGACATTTTTACAAGGTTTATATACACTGTGTTTTTGCTGTTTTCTTTTTAATAAATGCAAAAGGCAATCCTAATTAGCCAAATACTAGTATTATGAGCATATGATGGATATTCTCTACAGACTAGAGTAAATTTTCTTACAAATAGTATTTTGCTTTTCAGTTCAAAATGTAGGACATTAAAATAAATAGAAAAATTATTTAATATTTTATTTTAGATAATATATCGTCTAAATATAATAATACATGTATTTTGTACCTACTAATGAGTAATAATTTTTAATAGTTTCTGCTACAAATATTAAAATATAAGAAAATATTCAATATGCTTTATTGTTTTTTATATATAAATAATTTTTAGGTTTATTGGAGGGTGAATAGGCATACCCTGTTCTATGGCACTTTGCTTTATTGTGCTTTGCAAAAAATTGTGTTTTTAACAAATTGAAGGTTTATGGCAGTCCTGCATCAAGAAAATCTTTTGGCACCATATTTTCCAATAGCATTTGCTCACTTTGTATCTCTATGTCACATTTTTGTAATTCTTATAATATTTAAAACTTTATTATTATATTTGTGTGGTGATCTGTGAGATATGATCTTTGATGTTTGTATTGTAATTATTTTGGGACCCCACCAACCATGCACATATAACGTAGTAAACTTAATAGATAATTGTTGTGTGTGTGTTCTGACTGCTCCACTGATCAGCTGTTCTCCCATCTCTTTCTATCTTTTTCAGCCTCCTCATTTCCTAAGACACAACAATATTTAAATCATTCCAATTAATAACCCTACAATAGCCTCTAAGTGTTCAAGTGAAAGAGTCTCATGTATCTTACTTAAATAAAAAGCTAGGCATGATTAAGCTTAGTGAAGAAGGTATGTCAAAAGCTGACATAGGCCAAAAGATAGGTATTTTGCATCAAACAGTTAGCTAAGTTGTGGATACAAAAGAAAAAAAAAAGACCTTTAAGGAAATTAAAAGTGCTCCAGTGAACACATGAGTGATAAGAAAATAAAACAGCTGTATTGCTGATATGAATAAAGTTCTAGTGGTCTGGATAGAAAATCAAAATAGCCACAATGTTTTCCTTTTTTTATACTAATAAACCAAGAGCTTTATTGATGCAGCAGGCACTTTACAATGAACCCACATGTACCCACCTTTTCTGGGAGAATAAGATGTCTGTACAAACCCTTGGGGGATTTCCAATGAAAACAAAACACAAGCTCTCCATTTTACCACATCCCTTGTATCTACACCTGCTCAAATCTTCCCTCTCCTTTTTTAAAAAGGCAGTGCGCACAGGTACACCTGACCACAGCAGCCAGCCACTCTGGCAGACAGTCACAGTGTCAGTTTAGGCTATCATATCCTGCAAAGAATTTAGGAAACAGCAAGACAACCTCTCCCTCCACCTTGAAAATAAAGTACACTTCAGCAGATGCATGTCCTAAAATATTTGGGAGTTCTTGGGAAGATGGTGCATTATCAATCCCTTCTTTATCAGCTTGTGTATCAAAACTTCTTCTCAAGGTAACATGTCTTTTATTTTTAAACAGTCTTTATTTCTATAAAATTCTTATAATGGAGCCTAATCCACCTGCTGCTGATGTATTTTTATGCCACTGGAGTAACACTACACTGCTATTTCCTTTGGGCTTATCAAACCCTTTATAAATAGACTTCATTAGCAAGTCAATGCCATATTTGTCCAGTGATTGCTCAGCCTGCTCAATTTCACTGTTCTTAAAATTTTTAATACTTTCAGCACCACATCCTGGGCTCATTCCTTCACTGCTTGATTCTTGGTGTGGAGGAGAGAGTTTCCACAGGGCTGCATGAAACGCCCTAAGAATGTTCCCTTGCTGCAGGAGCCTGACTACTTCACCAAGGTCCCAGCCTGGCTTGCCAGCTGCCACCACCACCATCTCCTCCTCCTTGTCAATGAATTTGTTCTCTTCAAAATCTTGGATGTCCACTGAGGGAAATGCAAGGACAGGATGCTATGGGCTGTAGAGGGTCTTCGTACTCACTTTACCAGATTGCTCTGTGTCCAACCTCAGATTCACTCTGCTCTGGACTGGCTCTACAACATTCTCTTAAACCAAAGCCTAATCTGGAACAAGGCCCTAACTCTCTTCAATTTTATGAAGGCTGAAGAGATGGGGAAGTTGCACAAGAAAAGTTTGGAGCTAGCAAAGATTGATTCATGAGCTTTAAAGAAATAATCTCTTTCCATAACATAAAAGTGTAAGGTGAAGCAGCAAGTGTTGATGTAGAAGCTTCAACAAGTTATCCAGAGATCTAGTTAAGATATTTATTGAAGGTGGTTACACTAAACAACAGATTTTCTATGTAGATGAAACAGCCTTGTATTGAAAGACCATCATAGCTAGAGAGGAGAAGCAGCAAAGCTTCAAAGGACAGCTGATTCTCTTATTAGGGGCTAATGCAGCTGTTGACTTGAAGTTGAAGCCAATGCCAATGCTCATTTACCACTCCCTAAATCCTAGGGCCCTTGGGAATTATGTTAACTCTGTTCCACTTGTGTTCTATAAATGAACAACAAATCCTAGAAGACAGCACATCTGTTTACAACATTGTTTACTGAATATTAAAAACCCACTGTTGAGACCTATTGCTCAGAAAAACATATTTCTTTCAAAATATTACTGCTTATTAACAATGTATCCTGTCACCTAAGACCTCTAATGGAGATGCACAATGAAATTAATGTTGTTTTTATGCTTGTTAGTACAATATCCATTCTGTAGCCTATGAATCAAAAATAAATTTTGGCTTTTAAGTCTTATTATTTAAGAAATAAATTTATAAATAAATAAGGTGATAGCTGTCATAGATAGTGATTCTTCTGATGGATCTGAGAAGGAAATAAAAACTTCTGTAAATAATTCACCATTCTGGATGCCATTAAGGAAATTTTTAATTCATGGTGAGAGGTCAAAGTATCAACATTAACAAAAGTTTGAAGTTGATTCCAACCCTCATGGAAGACTTTCAGTGGAGGAAGTAACTGTAGATGTGGTGGGTATAGCAAGGGAACTAGAATTAGAAGTGGAGCCTGCAGATATGACTGAATGTTGGCAATCTCCTTATAAAATTTAAATGAATAAAGATTTACTTCTTATGGATGACCAAAGAAAGTGGTTTCTTGAGATGGAAACTATTCCTGGTGAAAATGCTGTGAAAACTGTTTAAACGACAACTAAGTATTTAGAATATTACATAAAGTTAATTGATAAAATAATGGCAGGATTTGAGAGGATTGGCTCCAAATTTTGAAAGACGTTCTGTTGGTAAAATGCTAGCAAACAGCATTACATGCTATTTTTGTGAAAGAAAGAGTCGATGCAAACATTTTTTCTTTTTATCTTTTTTATGATATCGCCGCAGCTACTCCACCTTCTGCAACCACCACCCCAATAAATCAGCAGCCATCAACATCTGGACAAGTAGTTCCACCAGCAAAATAATAGGACTTGCTAAAGGCCCAGATGATCGTTGTTATGTTTAGAAATAAAGTAGTTTTCAACTAAGGTATGCACATTTTTTTTTTTTTTACTTTTATTGTTGAGAGTATTACAAATGGCCCCCCTTTCCCCTTATTGCACCCTTCCACCTAGTTCCTGCCCCACCCTAGACCTTCACTGCATTATTGCACACTTAATAGACTACAGTATAGTGCATACATAACTTTTATATGTACTTAAAAACCCAAAACTTTGGGTAACTTGCTTTTTTTTCAATATTGCCTTTATTAAGGTTGTCTAAAACTAAACCTGCAATAAATTTGATATTTGCCTGTACTAATATGAGTAAATGTACTCTAGTGTTTAATTATGCTTATTGAAAAGATTTCTATTTACTCAATTAGAATTGCCCAAAGATATATATAAATTTTTATTTTAGTAAAATACTTAACATGAGATTTATACTCTCAACAACTTAAAAAATGTGCAATATTATTAACTATAGAAACTATGTTTTACTGAAGATCTCTAGAATTTATTCATCCGTACAACTAAAATCTTACATACATTGAACAGCTCTCTACCTGCCCCCCCCCCCGCCCCGCTCCAGTTCCTGGCTACTTCCATTCTACTTTCTGTTCTATGAGTTTGACTTGTTTAGATTTCTCATATAAGTGAAGCCATGCAGCATTTTTTTTCTGTGACTTGCTCATTTAACTAAGCAAAATGTCCTCTAGTTTCACCCATGTTGTGCATATGGCAGCGTTCTTTTGTTTTAATCCTCACCCAATGATATTTTTTAAAATTTATTTTTAGATGGAGTGGGAGGGAGAGAGAGAAATGGAAAGAGAGGGAAAAAACATCGATGTGAGAGAAACACATTGATTGATGCCTCCTGCACAACCCTGGCCAGGGCTGGGACCGAACTGTAACCTAGGTACGTGCCCTTGACTAGAATTGAATAAACGACTGGTTTGCCGGGCAACACTCTAACTGTTGAAACAACTGGCCAGGGCAGCAACATTTTTTTTTAAATCAATTTGTTTATTTTTGTTACAGATGTTTCTCCTTTTTACCCCCACTGATTCACCTCTCCCCCTTCCTCCCCCCCTGTCCCCAGCTTTGTTGTCCATATCCACTGTTCATGCATACATGCATATAAGTTCTGTGGTTCATCTCTCACCCACTGCCCCCTCTTCTGGTCATTGTCAGTCTGTACCCAACTTCCATGTCTCTGGGACTACCCCATTCCTCAGACTGTTATGTTCATTATATTCCACAAATAAGTGAGATCATGTGATATTTGTCTTTCTCTGTTTGGCTTGTTTCGCTTAGGATAATACTCTCCAGGTCCATCCATGTCATCTCAAAGGATGAGATCTCTCTTTCTTATAGCTTCATAGTACTCCATTGTGTATATGTACCACAGCTTTTTTTTTTTTTTTTTTATCCATTTGTCTACTGATGGACATTTGGGCTGTTTCCAGATCTTAGCTATTGTAAATAGTGCTGCTATGAACATGGGGGTACATATATTCCTTCTGATTGGTGTTTCAGGCTTCTTAGGGTATATTCCTAGAAGGGAGATCACTGGGTCAAATGGAAGTTCAATTTTTAATATTTTGAGGTAACACCATATTGTTTTCCACAGTGGTTGCACCAGTCTGCATTCCCACCAGCAGTGTACTAGAGTCCCCTTTTCTCCACACCCTCGCCAACACTTGTTGTTTGATGATTTGTTGATGGCGGCCATTCTGACAGGTGTGTGGTGATACCTCATTGTTGTTTTAATTTGCATCTCTCTGATGATTAGTGATGTTGAGCATTTCTTCATATGTTTGTTAGCCATTTGCATTTCCTATTTAGAGAGGTGTCTATTTAGTTTCTCTACCCATTTTTTAATTGGGTTCTTTGTCTTCCTTTTGTTGAGTTGCATGAGCATTCTATATATTTTGGAAATTAATCCCTTATCTGATATATCATTGGAAATTATGTTCTCCTATACAGTGGGTTGCCTTTCCATTTTGGTAGTTGTTTCTTTTTTAAAGCTGAATATTGTTCTATTTTATATCATGTTTTTTTATTTATTCATTTGTTAATGGCTATTTATGTTGTTTCCATATCTATCTTTCCCGCTGTGAATAATGCTATAATACTGATGTAAATTCTTTTGAATATATACTGAAGATCGGGATTGCTGAATTATATAATAGCTCTATTTATACTTTTTGAGGAACCTCCATATTGTTTTGTATAGTATCTGTACCATTTTGCATGTCCACCAACAGTGTAAATATTTCCATTTCACAATATCCTCACAAACACTTGCTATCAGGAATGAGGTGATATCTTTTTGTGGTTTTGATCATCATCTCTTTGATAGTTAGTGATGGTGAGCACATCTTTTCATATACCTGGTGGCCATTTGTATGTCGTCCTTGGAAAAATTTCTTCTTCTTTTTTTTTCTTTTCTCCATTTTTGATAATCACGTTCTTTGTTTTTGTTTGTTTGCTACTGAGTTGTATGAGTTTCTTTTATGTTTTATATATTAATCGCTTTTTATATATATGGTTTAAAATATTTTCTCTCATTCTATAAGTTGCTTATTTATTCATTTCTTTATATTTTTTTTGTTGTGCAAAAGCTTTTTAGATTGATATAGTTCCACTTGTCTATTTTTGTTGTTGTTGGAATTGTTCAACATGTCTTGGTTTTTATATCCACATCTCCTGAGAACACTGTTGGGTCAAGTACATTTTCTTATATAGCAAAGCTTGGGTTCTCCTATGTAGAAAGAAACAGTTGATTACTGCATAAATAGCTACAACAGAGACAAGTCTAAAATTAGTTGAAATTGGTAATACAGTTGTCCCTTGCCACTTGGCACTTTGACTTTCGCGGCTTTACTTTATTGCAGTTTTTTTTCAAATACTATACTATATAGTATAAATAAAGAATCGTACTTCATGGAAATTCATGTATTGCAGTAGAGTCAAACTGATTAAGCATGATAAATGAGGGCTGACTGTACCATTCTCATGTACTGAAGCTTCCTGTCTTAGTTTACTGAGACTGCTGTAACAAAATACAATAGGCTTAAACAACAGACACTTAATTTTCACAGTACTAAAGTTTCTTGGCTTGCAGATGGCCAAATGTTTTTGTTGTATTCTTACACAGCAGAAATAAAGGGCTCTTTTCATAAGGTAAAAATACTTCCCTCTTTTTATAAGGCACTAATCCCATTATGAGAGCACACCCATGACCTTATCTAAAACTAGTTACCTCCTAAAGACCTCATCTCCAACAACCACAATACTGTAGGTTAGGGGCTTCAACATATCTTTTTGTTTTGGAGGGGGAACATAATTTACTCCATAGCAATTCCTAAGTAAAATACATTCTGGCCAGGTGAACCAGCCCACTATTGCAACAT